AAAAGTAAATGATCCATTTATCTTTATTTTATAAAAGTAAATGATTCCTTTATATTTATTTATTTATTTCTACCTTTACTTTTAAAAATAAAGGTAGAAATAAATGAATAAATATAAAGGAATCATTTACTTTTATCAAATAAAGATAAATTTTTTTTCCATTTATTTATATTTATTTTTTAAATATAAATGAAAAATTTATCTTTATTTTTTAAGTATAAATGGTTCATCTAGTTTTATCCATTATTATAAATGACAAATAAAACTAAATTAACACCCCTAGTAGGAACTAATATTTTTATGGAAAAAATGCGATTTTGACAGCAAATAAGTCATGCACATGAGCTCTTTGTAAATTACCCGCCGTGTTTTGGTCTTTGGAAGTCCAAGGGTTTTTAGAAAACCAACGTTCAGGCCCCTCTAAATTTTGGAAACCACTCCATAAGAAAAAGCAGATGCGAAAACCTATAAAAAATTCGTTTTTACTGCATTGATGTGTTTTAAAACTAAGTATCCACGTGCCTATCAAAAATTGCCCACTGTGCAGGGGTGTCGCAAAGCAGTCATAACTGGGGGGGGAGGGTCAAAATTTTCGAAAGCAGCGTTGGATAAAATCGATCGTTTCTCCGATATGTGGGGGGTTGTTCCTCCCCGCTCGCGGCATCCCTGTAACTCTCTGTAACTAAAATGAACTACGAAAGTTCTGATCATCGTCTTCCTGATGGTGCCTTTGGAAATCAATCACTAATTCTCACTCTAAGAAGACCAGGAAATCTTTGAAGCACCGATATGATACTGTTTCAAAGATCGATTTTTACTGTAACTCTCTAATTTGATCATGTATATGTATGTAAAGATATCATACAGAGAAGTCAATGTTATCAAGTCGTATCTAAAGTCTAGCGGGACCAACTACTCACTCAGACAATATACGAGATAATGGTTTGAGCTGCGCTACGCTAGTGACCACGCATTGCCACTTTTCATATGCAACATATAGTCAAAGCGATGCTCTGATACTGACGACTTTACTTCATTAAGTGTATCCAGAAAATGCCCGATTCTGTAGCGACACTTCACTTTGTAATTACTTCACAAATTGTCAATTTAATTTCGAAACAATGTTTTTTCATTTCAACCAAAGTCTTGTTCGAGTGAGGAAAGCTTTTTACGGCCCTTGATTGCTTTTTTTCTTCTGGAAAAGCCGACTGAAGAGAATCAAAACAATAACATACAAATCGGCAAGGAATACTTAGCAACTACAATAGCAATGTTTCAGATGTTTCATTTTGATTGTCTAAAGAAAAGTTGTGATTAAAATCGAATCTAAAAATGTGTTTAAGCTAATATATTTGTATTTTGAAACGCTTAAACTAATCGTGATCGAGTAGTCACGCGCTCACTGTAGTTGTGAAATTAGTGTAGATGATTCGCCTCGGTCTTAATTTGACCAGAATATCTATATTTAAAAAAAATGAAAATGGATCCGTTGCCGACAAAGGAGAATCGAAAATAATGCAGGACAACAAATGAACCTTTTAAAGCATCCTCATCTTCATTTACTGGTGGTTTCTAGCACGATTATTTCAGCTGGCATTTACTCGACACTTTAACGATGGGTTGAGATACTGATAAAATTTTGAAAAAGTATTCTAGTGCTATTTAGATCAACTATCAAGCATCAAGGATGTTGGTGAATAAAGGCGATTTTTATTATATTTGTTTTATAGAGCCACTAATCATATCCTTCAGAACAACATGTCTATAGTTTCAGGATATCGTGTGCACGTATGACATTTATTATATGAAGGTAAGATTATAGTTTTGTGATATCTTGTGCACATATGAGATTTTTCATAGAAAGGTAAGAGTATAGCTGAGCTTTAGTGCTGAAAACATTATATATTTATCTCTTATTGTTCCTGTGAGAGCGATAGACAAAGATAAAGTAGTATCAAATAATAGTTCTTTCTGTTTAGAATTGACGTTTTATAGTTTTATACAGAGCACAATATGTATAGCAGCCAATATTTTGATAAGCTGATTTTCAAGAATAATGAAAGACACAAATGGTGGCATAGCCGTCAAGTAGCGATCATCTGCATTTCTCTGATCGTTTTAACAGTTTGTATAGTTACTCTATCTCTACTGCTAAAATTCGTTATTTTTCCGGTGGAGAAGCCGACAACAGCAATAACCATAACCACTACACAGCAGTCAAGGAAGTCTTGCAGCAACGCTTCTTCATCTTCATATACAGGGTGTCCCAAAAGTCCGGCGTGCAAGTAAATTTGTATAACTCCATTATTTATAGAAAGTCATCGACTAATTTTATTTCATACGATAGGTATCATCGCAAAGTTTTTATTTGTATCGGAGAATTGGGATCAGCTCGGGGAGCCCAATCCATCCATGTAAAAATATAAGGGTGTAAACATTTTTGCTTGCTTGGTGCACCTAATAAAAGTCGCAAAATACTGAATTTCTGTATTTCAGTCTAATCTAACAGCTTTGAGCAGTATTTGAGAACTTCTCTCTTACATATGAAAACTTCGCGATCATACCTGCCGTATGAAATAAAATTAGTTGATGACTTTCTATAAATAATGGAGTTATACGAATTTACTTGCACGCCGGACTTTTGGGACATCCTGTATGTTACTTTTAAAGTAGATATGTGTAGTTTCCTTACACTCAACTGTACTCTGCATCTAGATAAAGATGACGTTAAAATGAGTGATTTAATTTGTATAATAAGAAAAAAGTGCAGTAATGAATTAGCGTTAATTGACCGAAAGGAAAAGATCGAAACGTAAAATCTCGAAGGAGAAAGACCGAAAGGTAAAATTTCGAATGAGTAAAGTCTCGAAGAGGAAAAGCTCGAAAATGAGAATCCTGAAAAGAAAAATCTCAAATATGCAAAATACTGAAAAGAGAGAATCCAGAAACAAAAATCTTGAAAAATCTGGATAATCTTCACTTCTCTAGAAAAAACAGGAGCCTACAGATTTCTTGTTCCCTTCAAATACGTTCAGCTTAACGTAGGCTCAGTGGAAAGTTTGTCTGATCACAGTAAGAGGAAAATCTGCATTACTGATGTTTTCTTTTTGTTCTTATATATCTTCTCCTGAATATAGATTGGCTTAATGAAAGACGTAAGTGAGAAGATTCTTTTTGAGTCGAGTCAGGATCTCTCAGGATGTAGGTCGAGTTAAGTCGAGTCGAATCGATTAGGGTAGCGACTTTTCTGACTCGTTTTGGTCTACAGTATACATATGCGGCACGATTAATCATCGTTATGCATAAAGAATCGACTCTAATCAACGAAAAAAACTTTGGTTGAAAGGCCTTTCGTTCTTATGTTTTTCGTTTAGCGGACGTCATATCCCAAATATAAAAATTTGAACACACCATTAGAAGATCTTGAGAGTTCAGCAATGCATATTCTTTCTAGAGCGAATACATTTAAATGTTTTTATTTAGAATGGACTAATATTGATAGTATGGATGATGGACGAAATTCTCACACGGCATCCATTTTAACCGATGGAAAAGTGTTAATTACTGGCGGCCTTAATCGTGGTGCTCTAAGTAGTGCTGAGTTGTATGATCCATTAACAGGAACTTGGGCAACTACGTCTAGTATGAATTATACACGCCATATGCACACAGCGTCTATATTGACAAATGGAAAAGTATTAGTTACTGGTGGAAACGATGGTGAAAATAATGCTCTAAATAGTACTGAATTGTATAATCCATCAACAGGAACTTGGACCGCTGCTGGCGATATGAATAATGGACGAATAGATCACACAGCATCCATTTTAGAAAATGGAAAAGTATTAGTTACTGGTGGAAAAAATGGAAATGATTATCTAAATAGTGCCGAATTGTATGATCCATCAACAGAAACTTGGACAACTACTAGTAGTATGGATAATGCTCGCGTACAACACACAGCAACCATATTAACAAATAGAAAAGTATTAGTTACTGGTGGAAATAATATTTATGCTTTAAGTAGTGCTGAGTTATATGATCCATCTACAGGAACTTGGACAAATACTGGTAGTATGAATGATGCGCGATATTCTCATACAGCATCCATATTAAAAAATGGAAAAGTGTTAGTTACTGGCGGCCTTAATCGTGGTGCTCTAAGTAGTGCTGAGTTGTATGATCCATTAACAGGAACTTGGACAACTACGGATAGCATGAATTATACACGATGGAGCTCCAAAGCATCGGTATTAACAAATGGAAAAGTGTTAATTACTGGTGGACATAATAATCGTGCTTTAAGTAGTGCCGAATTGTACGATCCTTCAACACAAACTTGGACGATTATTAATAGTATGAATGATGCACGATATTTTCATACAGCATCTGTCTTAAAGAATAAAAAAGTGTTAGTTACTGGTGGAAGGAACCTTGGTACGGCTTTAAACACTGCAGAACTATATTCATGATTCTAAACTAACATAATAAACAACTTTTGGTATCTAATACTATTATTCTAGTCTCCAAAATTTATCCTCAAAGAATAACTGCCTTCGTATAATAGCAATATATTGCTTCTTTACATATATCTTTTAGCTAGACGATTTCTAATAAAATTATTTTATTATCGCCAAATCTTATTCAGCAAATGGAAGTACAGAACTCGAACACATTTCGAATGATCATATTTGACTATCATAGCTGAATATTTTGCTCTATTTCACTGAACTTCTTTATGTTCGGTAGAGATGTAGTTTATTTGTATTTTAAAACTATGAGATAAAATTCAGCTGCAGTGTTTCTTCAGTTTAATATAACATATAAATAATTCAAAATCGAGTCAAAATATGATTTAGATTTGTTTACTATGGATTGAAGAGGCCGTCTCTTAGCCTGTGATTGGAAGGAGAATGGGTAAGAAACGATTTGTCAGATCAGATCTGTATACGTGTAGACCGTAAAAAAGCTTAAAACTTTTGATTCAAACTGACAATTTAATCACATATTGTGTTGCATAAAAGCTTTATAAAATGTTTTAAAAGGTTATGAAAGACAAGAAATAGGATAGGTCTTCTCTGGAATCAATTACTTCCAAATTTAATGAAATTTCTTTTAAGAAGAGTGGAAATAATTAAATAAAATTGAAACTAGTGATCAACGAGTAGTAATGAACAAAAATGAACAGTTCCAAGGTAATATTGATTGTCTCATATCAAAAAATGGCTATCTGCCAGCCTCACGAAATCTTTAAGTTGCCAAGGTTTATACTGACAATACTTTGGCAATTATTTTTCAAATCAGAGCTGGAATCGGTTGAAAATTTTCAACCCAACCCAGCCGGCCGGTTTAAAAGCTCAACCCAACCGAACCGGGCGGCTGAAATTGGCCTCCAACCGGTGTAAAACGGCGAAACCGGCAAAAATTCGATGTGCATGCATTTTCAAGTTTTCTGGAAAAATCGTTCACTTGAATTAGCGAAATCAGTTTTATTAAGTGTTGTAAGTGATCAAATAGTAGCACTGAGGTTATAACTGGATGGATCATTCGAAAGTAACAAGCGGAAGTGATGTGGAAATACGATGGAACCGAAGTGCAAAGCACCGTACATCTTCTGATTAACAAAGTCATAGTTTTCGTTTGGCTTTGTTCAGGAGGAAAGACTCAGCGAGACAGCCAAAGAAAATTCCCCAAAAGGCAGAAAAAATAATTCAGGGACGGGGTGTCTCCCTCCCTTCCCCCCTAATTATATGATCTGAACGAAACGGTGTGCCTGCGGTAAACCATTTTGGTCACGTAAGAGTAGGTATTAACTAGGTGGCGAAAGTATGTGGTAGTTAATAGTAGAAAACTAGGAAAAAAGGCATAGTCTCATGACGAAAAATGTTTCGCTGTATTTGAAAAACATTATCGGCATCAGATGCAAATTGAAAGTCACCATAAAAACGTGAGTCACCAAAAAATGTGAGTCACCAAAAAACGAAAGTCACCATTTTCTTTTGCGTGTTCAACCGGGTCCCGACCGACCAGGTGATAGATTCGACTCAAACCAACCGGTGCAGCGGTCGGTTGGGTTTCAGCTGTTTCGAATTAATATTAATTTAAGTGTTTCTACAAAATAAAATAATTCGATAATGTGCGCCCGTGAACAGAAGTCTATCTCTTTGGATCTCAGCCACCATAAGGGCCTTGAGGTCTTAAAATTTACGCCTTAACTGACTCGATGGAATAGATGCCAAATGAATGTAAATAATATTTCCTTAAAGGTGGTCTATTTTAAAGAACGTCGAAAGTCATCATCTAAGAAATTACGTTGATAAACAATCCAGACATGAAGTTTGAAGCACGTCTGTACAATTGTTCGCAAAATGATGAATTAGGAAAAACATTTGTTCATAATTCACTGTTAGTGATAGTTCGATCATGACTTTTTTCGGATATTCATGGCAATTCAAATATTTTCCTATCGCAGTCCAGGGTCAAATCCGGCGAGCTCTTCTCCTGACTCTCGCTAATTTCACGAATCGTCCATCGACGACGAAAGACTGTTTGTATTATTAGTATGGAATGAGTTCGATCAAATGGACAATGAAACGTCTTTGATGTTGATCTCTTTTCAAACCCGTGATTATCCAATTTGGCTGTTTCGATGGTTCAGTTAAAATACAACACTAGTAACACATTCAATCCTATTCGTCTGTTTCTTTACACTGAGTATCGATATTGAGGCAGATTCATATTCTGATTCCTGCGAGAATTGATAACTGAATTTTGATATCTTCGTATCTCGGAAAAACACGTTCGTTTTTTCTTCAACTCGTATGATATTTTAGTTTCAAGGAGATCGATCTGTTGGCAAAATCTCAGGTTAAAGGTCTTTATGGATAGTGTTGAAGCTTCATTTTTTGAATTCCTGATCACTCAATACAAACAAACACTTAACTTGAAGGTTTAGGTGTTTGATATCGTATGGACTCGACCATTTTGTGCCAATGGGAGTGCGAAATCTCCTCCTCTCTATACACAAGATTGGCGAAACACAACAAAAAGAACCAACCCATAGTGAGATATTCTTTCTCATTCTGTTGCATCTTGCTGACATTCTCTTTTCATTCCATACCATCTCACAGTATGATGCAAAGAAATCTTCCGGCTCGCACTTGTCTCATATTAGCGATAAGTAGGTCTTGTATACGTTCGCACGATGATACAGATAAGCAAAGGAGGAAAGTCATCATATCCTATTTCTTCACCCACATGTATATGTATAGACGCACTAATGTGTTGATTCGATACAAACAAAAGTTATACTGAGCATTTAACCCGAGAAACGCGTACACATTCTTCCTCACCCATGGTAAGCACACTGGATATAGTTCGAATAGCAATGTGATGGAAAAGGATCGGATCGTATGGAAATGTTGACGTATCCTAAACGGGATTTCTGGGGCATCAGCACACGCACAGGAGATGATAATCAACTAGTGATTTAATTCGAAATTGATACAAGTAGAGTTTTTGATCGATGGTTATCATTTTTTGGCGTGTAATAACTTCATCTATCATCATTTTAGTCAACCATCACTATCGAAAAAGTCTGCCACATCAATATTGATACTGCTGGGCACTATCGCCGGTATCTGTCTCATAACCACAATTGTATTGACTATTTGTTACAGCATCGAACGAAGCAAAATAAACGATCATCATACCATAAATGGTACAGATTTATTCAATCTACTCGAAGAAAATAAACAAATTGAAATTTTGAATGTAAATAGAATCTTCAGTTGAGAATAACGATTTGTGTTTGACTCCATATTGTATCAAAGCAGGTAAAAATAACTCGTGAATAAATAAATTATTGTTTTTATTATTCTAGCCACTGATCTACTCGAAAGTATCGATGAAACAATCGATCCGTGCGAAAATTTTTACTAATTTGTCTGTGGTTCAAGAATGAAGAAGATCAAAATCCCATCTGATTGTGAATGTTCTCTCTGTCATCTTCGAAATTTAATCATTGAATGAATTCTTTATAGCTAGTGGCCTAGGGACTTTTAGAAAACTGGAGAATCAGGTGAACGACGCTCTTGTCCGTAGGGAAAATTACTTTGCTTTCCACTGAATCGATGGTTCTTTGTAGATATTCTTTCATCGTCGTGAGAAATGGCAGAGTCGTGAGTGAAATGGCATTTTGTAGTGCTTTTTTTCTTGTAATCCCGTTTCGTCGAAAATAAAAATTCCACTATTCCCGTTTCGTCGAAAACAAAAATACCACTGTTCCCGTTTCGTCGAAAAAGGAAGATGAAAGAAAATTAGCAGAAGCTCAATAATTCTAATTGCCTTTTGATTCTAATTGTTTGATCATCTTAATATTAACCTTTCTAAAAGAAA